GTGTTCACACAATTTTAAGTTTTTATTTATTTTCCAACCTTGAGGAGTAATTGACAAATATTATATATATTTAAGGTGGACAATGCAATAATTCAAAATACAGTGTGAAATGCTTAAAAAGTTTTTAAAGCTATTTTTGCAAACACTTGAAAATTTATTCAAGTTAAAGAATCATGTATTTTTTCTTTAATCAACAAATGTAATTCTGACATTCCTCGTGACGATGCAAATGGATTTCAAATCCTTAGACTTTGTCGTAAGGAATATATCAAAAATGAAACTCTGAGGAGCCTCTGAGGAGCTGAAAGCACAACTAGAGCGGAAGCTGCCGGAAGTGCGGGGCGAAGGGGGAGGGCCCAGCAGGAGCCACGCCCCCTGCCCGGGCCTTCTTTCCTGCCGCGCAGGCTGTTTTGCGTCCCGGTTGGGGTCCTTCGTCCGCAGCCGCAGGGGCGGCCCTGAAGCAGTAGGTCGATCTGCGCCCAGTTTCTCGAGACTAGCAGTGAGTGTTGAATGGCCCTTACGTTAATAGCTGGGGGCCCTTAGTGGTTGCCTCAGAAAAGTCTGGGTGGAGGCTACTTTGGGGTGGCGGGCTCCGGGCACCTGCTCTTCCCCCAGCCTGAAGCTGCCCCGGTGGGGTGGGAAAATCAGTATTAGGCTTCACATCTGTCATGTGTCCATGATACGTGAGGTGGGAAACTGCTCTACACTGGCGGTTCTCGCTTAAGCACGCATCAGAATCACCAGGATGTCTTTCTAACACGTTGCTGGACTCTCCACCCCTGCCCCGTGACCCTTTCTGATTCAGCAGGATCTCCGGGCTGGGGCCGGAGAATCGGCACAGCTCACCAGTTTTCAGGTTCTGCTGCTGCTGCTCTGGAATCACACCTCGAGAACCACTGTCCTAGAGGTTAAACAAAGCAGCCCCTTTTCACTCCCTTACCCTGGTTTATTTTTCTCAAGAGCGATGATCATTACTTAATGTTACATATTTGTCTGCTTTTGCTTGTCTTTGGTAAGATTCAGGAGAACGGGCACTTTGTTTTGCTGTTTTAGTCCCATCTTCTAGAATAGTGCCTGGAACATAGTAGGAGCTGAAAAGATAACATGATTTTTTGGAAGGCAGCAGCCAAAGCTGAAACCGCGAGAGTGAAAAAGGTTACTCAGGAAGAGGGTGAACAGTAAAAAGGAAAAGGGCCAAGGACAGACCCTGGGGTATGTGGGCATTTAATACCAGAAATAGGAAATGAAGCAGGAAACTGGGAGCAAAGCCTGGTGCAGCAGCATAGAAACCCACTGAGGAGAGATTTTCACAAAAGGAGGGAACACCAAGAATAAACATCAGAGATCATCTGAAATGGAAAGACTGAAAAGTCCTTAAAATTTGTGAATTACAAGATTTGTCATTGATGATTTTGGTAAAAGTAACTTAAGAAAGCTGTGTAGAGTAGCAGGCTCCTTGCTTAGTGATGGTGGATGAAGAAGTGGGAAAAAATGAGTGTGGATAGTTTATTCAAGGTTTTAGCCGCGCAGAAATGGTTACAGAGGTGTACAGGTCAAAAGAGTGTGTTTCTGTCTCCCATTCCCTGTGTCTGTGTTGTTTAAGATAAAAAGGTTTAGAGCATAATTTTGGATCTCTAAGGAGATATTGAATATACAAGACTGGGTAATCATAGCCAAAGGTCATGGTCCTAGAGGAGTTGGGGGGGATAGACTCAGGAGTGGGATGGATGGGCCTTCACCTGCTGAGACCAGGAGCAAAGGTGTGAGCGGGGCTGGTGTAGATGCCTGGGTTGAAAGTTGAGGAGGTTCATACATGAGAGCCTCCATTTTCTCTGGGAGTCCAAGCAAAGTCTTTTCTAGTGGTGAGGCAGGAGCAGGTAAAAAGTGTAGGAGGGGTGGCAAAGGTTGGAGTAATTGCTGTGGGAACTAGAATCGAACTGTGACATCAAATGGTCCCAAATCAGAAGTAATGTTAAAAACAAACAAAAAACCAACTTTGGGAGGCAGGAATGCTATATTGGTTCTATAATGAGCTTCAACTCACCCACTCCCTCTCTGTTTATCTACAGATCCTCTCATTCCTGTCATGAGGCACATATTAAAGCTGTAGAAGCTTAACAAAACACAAACTCTTTACTGGCTGTTTTCTAAGGCAGCAGTGCTGTAGGAGCAGGTGCAATTGAAACACACTCCCAGATGCAGGCAGGGCTGGGAGGAGGCCAGCTGGAGGCAGCTAATTAGCCGAATTAACTCTGATCATCACCATAGACAGCCGGATGGAAAACACGTTGGTCTAGAGAGTCCCAGAACTCTCTGGTTGTGCTCCATTAATGGCAGGATCCCAAGGAATGAACTCAACGATAACCCACTAAGTCTTTTTGGTTTGTGTAACAACAAAAGCAAACAAACCAACAAAACACAACTCCAGGTCTGGGGAACAAAGGTATCTCATGAGTGAGAGATGGGGCTTATCACTCTATTCCCAGAGCTAAATTAGATCCCAGACCCAGAGCCTGTTGAATGTAGCCCAAATACTCTTTTTTTTTTTTTTTTTTAAAGATTTTATTTATTTGTCAGAGACAGAGGGAGAGAGAGCGAGCGAGCACAGGCAAACAGAGAGGCTGGCAGAGGCAGAGGGAGAAGCAGGTTCCCTGCTGAGCAAGGAGCCCGATGTGGGACTCGATCCCAGGACACTGGGATCATGACCTGAGCCGAAGGCAGCCGCTTAACCAACTGAGACACCCAGGCGTCCCTCTTTCTTTTTTTTTAAAGATTTTATTTACTTATTTGACAGACAGAGATCACAAGTAGGCAGAGAGGCAGGCAGAGAGAGAGGAGGAAGCAGGCTCCCCGCTGAGCAGAGAGCCCGATACGGGGCTCGATCTCAGAACCCTGAGATCATGACCTGAGCTGAAGGCAGAGGCTTAACCCACTGAACCACCCAGGTGCCCCAGCCCAAATATTCTTAAGGATGGTGCTGAAATGCTGTTCCCAAGCCCCGCAAACCTTCGTCTCCCAGCTTTCCCCCAAAGGCCTTGTGATCCTTTTAGGATAACTACTCTGAAGAAAAGGAAGTACCTATATTTTTCAGTGACTATAATTTATTAATTCTAAACTAACATTAATTTCTGGGACCCCAAATGTCACGGTTTGCCATCAACATTCTGAGCTTACAGGGGTTAGGTGATAAATGAATTGATTTCTGGCCCAAGTTTACCTTTGGATAGGGCTGGTGGGACTGTGAGTCCATCCGGTGGTTATATACGCTACTTGCCCAGTGAAGAGCTGGAATGGGAATCCCAGTAACTGACAGGATTCCTGCACTGGCACATTCTCTCATTGAGCAAGGGCTATTCTGGTAGGAAATGCCACGCTGAGGGCCAAATAATACATTAAAAGCATTACCACATACCAGGAGAATTGCAGAGGTGAGTGGCACCATCAAACGTATTCCCACCTCATTCCCTTTCACTTCTCAGGTTAGCTACCACAGAAGACAGTGCATTATTAGAAACCCAAGCAAGTGATGACTCCAACTGCAACTACTCTTCCAAAGGGGTCTCCTTGCCCAAGTAACTCCAACAGCCCTTAACCCTTGGTGTGCAGGTATTGATCTGGGATTTAGCTCCAGAATATCTTTAAAGCTCTCCTTTTTCACATTATGCACTGATACCTTTCCAGATTCAGTTATGTTTTATGTTTTTATTGCCAATCCCTCTTCGTTCCATTTTCGTTCATGTCTGTGTATCCGTTTCTCCACTTTGAAGTGGGAATCATAATTCTGTCTCAGAGTAACTGGGAGGAAAATTGGATAATCTTTGAGAAGAGCATTGAGTCAGTGCTCAGGATGTGGTAGTTAGCTGTTGGGGATAAGAATCTGGGATACTCTTTTTTCAATTCATTATTCATTTTGCAGGAGTCATTCCCAAGTTACTTAGTGAGTTGATAAACTTTCTGAATCTTATATGTCTGACAGTGCCTTTTCTTTTCCTGCACATAATGCTGATTTGGCTGGGTAAAGGATTCCAGTTTCAGCTTTGAAGGTACCTCTCCATTGAGAAATCCAATGGCAATCTGATTTTCATTGCTTTATAGGTAACCTCTTTCTGTATAAAATCTCTTGATTTCCTTTCTCCTAGGCTTTGTCTAGGATGGGATCTTTTTCACAAGTTATTCTAAGGACTCAGTGGGCCCTTTTCAATCTGAAAATGCATTTTCCTTCACACCTGGAATATTTTCCTTCTTTTTAAACTCCCAAACCTCACCCCCATTCTTTCTTTTGCTTTTATAACATTGGTCATTCAGATGTCGGAATGTCTGGATTCATTTTTCACGTCTCAGCATTTTCCTTTTTGTTGCCTTATCCATTCTGCTATAAACCCATAAATCTTCTCTATGATCTTTTCAGGGATTCCTCAATATAACTGGCTCACTGATGAAACATTTTGTTCCCAGAGCTTTTTTGGATTTTACACATCATGGAATTTTAGGTGGAAAATAAAGTACAGGTGTGCGCACATGTTTTCTTAATTCAAATTTATGTTTTGGTTTGTCGTGTTCCTTTAATTAGACTGTACATTTTGAGGTCTTTATACTGTGCCTATTTGGTACCTCTTAAACTGTTTTCTGGTTTTCAAGGACTTTAGAAAATTGGCTCATTCTACCTATCCAGTAAACACATCCCCAGGTTATTTCTTCAAAATACATTCTCTTCTTTAGTTTCCTAGCTCGTTTGTCTCCAGTGGCACTTGGAAGATTCTTCATACTCATTCAAGAAGCTCTCCGCGCCCCACCCGCTCTCTTCTGGAGCCCAAGTTGCGTCCGGCTCTGCCCTGATTCTCCACCAAGCTTCAGGATCGCTTGTAATTTTACTTCAACCGCGTTAAACCTGCTGAATCAGAATCTCTGCCGACCAGACCTGAGTATCATTCCCTTCCCCTTCCCGCCCCCGATCCTTCTGTAAGCTCCACAGGTGATTCTGAGGCACACCCAAGTTCGGAACCTCGAGGCCCCCTCCCCCTCCCGTCTGCGCAGGGCTGGGGCGGGACGGCCCACCTGTTCTCGCCCCTGCCGGGCTGGGGAGGTGATCCGAGACGTTCTGGAACCGCAGTCGTCCCAGCCACGTCGGAGAAGGTAGCGCCGGCGATCTCCCGAGGGAGCCAACGCTGCTAGAGGGCCCGGCCTGGCGGCCCCCGGCCCCGACTCCCGAGCGGGCGGCCCGGCCCAACCGTCCCACCGGCCGCGCGCCCTCCGGGCTGCAACGCGGCGCCGGGTCGCACGCCCCTTGCCCTCGGGCACTGGTGCGCAGGCGCGCGGGCGCCTTGGCGCGGCTATTTTGTCGGCCGCTGGGCGGGAGAAGCCCTTTGACTCTCCCGGCCCCGCAACGGCAGCGCCAGCGCTGTGGGCGCCACGGGTGAGAGGTGGTGCTCCACCTGCCTGCGTCCCGCCGGCCTCTCACCGCGGCCTGGGCTGTCTTCGGGGTCGCGGGAAGGAGAGCTACTCACACCGCCTGGGGCGGGGAGAGACGTTGGAGGCGGGGAGGGGACCCCCTCACCCTGGCAGAGCAGAGGTCGTTGATTTGGTAAGAGGAAGCGGGCGGCCTCCCCGTGGGTCTGGGCCGGAGCAGGTGTGCTGGTGCGGGGACCTCACCGGGAGCCGTCTCCCTCGAGCGCTGGGGAAGGCGGCCTTGCGTTTGCCTCCCTCCCGGGCCTTTCCCCAGCGTTGGCGAGGGATGTCGGATGCCAGGTTTTCGGTGTAGACTTACGGTCCCAAACAAACCCTTGTTAAAGCTTCAAGCAAAACAACAACAACAACAAAACAAAAAACCAAAAACCAAAACGAGCCAGGAACTGGGGACTTAACGCCCATTAGCCAGGGGCAGTGATTTTTCTCGGGCGTGCAGGTTAATCACAGGGTGAGATTTCGAGTTTGAGTTGTGTGAGTGATTTGCGAAATGCAGCGTTTCAGAGAACCCTCATGGCTTTGCTCCTGCTTCATCACCTTTAGAACTCGCTTCCTGGTTGTTTATATTCCACGATTGATCCTTTTAAAGCCGTGCCCCCCCCCCCCCGCCCCCAACTTGGGTTTGTCTCATGAGCCATGTTACTATCTTAAATCCCGTAGGGTGCAATGTCTGAACAGGAGCGTGTACAGGAATGCCTGAGGAAAGAAATAAGGTCACTTCTCATTTCTGCCAAAGATGGTTTGACCCCACAGCAATTGGAAAAGGAGTATCTTTTGATGGTTGGCAGTCATTTGCCACTCCGAGTCCTTGGCTATCGGTCAACTATGGAGCTGGTGTTGGACATGCCTGATGTTGTCACTGTCTGCCCCTGTGGGGATGGTACTGTAATACTGAAAGGTAAGCTTAGGTTTTAAGATCTATAAGCTAAGCAGTAATTATTACCTGGTAAGGAATTTTTCTAGCAAATAAATAGGTGATGGGGATTATGGAGTGCACTTGTGATCAGCAATGGGTGATCCATGGAAGTGTTGAATCATTGTATTGTACCCCTGAAACTGACACTGTAGCTTTAACTGGAATTAAAAACTTAAAAGGAATTGTTACAGCAGTTATCCCACATACAGCAATTACCCTGTATTCCAGGGAGGGGATTTTAACATTTTGAGGGGGAGAGGGTTCATGGTTACCTTTGAGGTTGTGGGAAGAGTGAAAGCTTTAACAAAATGAAGAAATCTTTCCCTGGAAAAAGGTGCATTCACAAAAACTACATTTTGCATATGATTTCAGATTATTGCACCTTAAATTGGGGGAAGCATAACAATGGGACTTTTAAATTATGAACTCATGTTTTAAATTTCATGAAACATAAACATTACAAGGAAGTTTATTCATCTTGAGAGTTTCAGATGTTTCACCAGTCAGTGGTAATGCTAAATAGTAGGATTTATCTTTCTGTCTTCATCCTCTGGTAGAGGAGTTAACAAGTGGTCATCCGTAATGTACAAGAAATGGAGGAACCAAAGGTTCACTTTTATAATGCTACCTGGATACACAGCTCCTCGGAGAGTTAAAAATTATCTATATAATGACAGATGCACAGGATACAAAAAGGAGTTAAATTTTCATCTAAATATGATTTCTTTTTCCAAACCTCCTTAGCCATTCCAGATGAATCCACCAAAGGAATAGCAAGTTTGGTTGCAAAACAGAGAAGCAGCCATAAGGTTCGAAACTCCGTGCAGAAGGGAAGGGCCAGTGTTTGCTCTGGGCCAAGCTCATGTAGGCGAGTACCTTACCGAGGAAGGGTGCCCCCCATTCTTCCAGCTTTTGTGAAGAGTGAGTTGAAAGACCTCTTGGCGTTATCTCCCGTTCTCCTTTCTGATTTTGAGAAGGCATTTGTCAGACGATTTGGACGTTCATTCCAGTACGTGCAGTATGGATTTCTCTCTATGTTTGAAGTGCTTAATGCTGCTTCGGATGTCATTTCTGTAGAGCAGACCAGAGCAGGTTCTTTGTTGATGCTAAAGAAGAGCGTATCAGAGAAGCAGCAGAGAGGATGGCCAGCAGGTAAGCATGTGTGCATTAGTCACTGTGTTGTGGGTTAGCAGAATTTGGAGCAGTAGTGGCAGCTATGGAGATGTGCAATGTCTCAGCTCCCAGAGTGTGTTGAAAGTTGCATTGTGGCGCTCCCACTTGCTGGCTGAATGATGTTGAGCAAGGTACTTAAAATGTCCAAGCCATAGTTTCCCCTCTCTAGAATAGGAATAATAATAATTGCCTCTTGGAGTTGTGCTGAGGATTAAATGAGATGAGCTCTGAAAAGTGCCTGGCATTTAGTAAGCTTATAGTAAGTGGTAGCTATTACTATAAAAACACAAGATCTGCTTTCTCTGGGACACTGTAAGTGAACATGAGTCATTTGTGTTCATGTAAAGATATAATGTGGAAAATGAGTTTTTTTTTTCCTAATTTTTTATTTTTTAAAAAGATTTATCTATTTATTTGACAGAGAGAGACAGCAAGAGAGGAAACAGAAGCAGGGGAAGTGGGAGAGGGAAAGGCAGGCTTCCCGCTGACCAGGGAGCCCGATGTGGGGCTCCATCCCAGGACCCAGGGATCATGACCCAAGCCAAAGGCAAATGCTTAAAGACTTAGCCACCCAGGTGCCCTGAAAATGAAGAGTTTAAAAAACAATACTAGTCAGTAGCATTTACCATCTGATTTTTTTTTTTTTTTTTAAGATTTTATTTGTCAGAGAGAACACAAGCAGGAGGAGTGGCAGGCAGAGGGAGAAGCAGGCTCCCCAGGGTTCTGCGATGGAGTCCTGCATCAGGCTCCCTGCTTCAGCTCAGGCTGAACCACCCAGGCATCCCATGCCATCTGATTTCTGCTGGCACAGTTCTTTGATATCCTAGCAGGCACTGCAGTAATTTATGTAGTGTAATGATAACCACCATATCTAGCATTTTACCTTGGATTCTCATTGCCACACCATAGAATGGTGAATAACCCAGTTTTAGAGATAAGGAAAAGAAAGCTTAGGAAAGTTAATTGACTTTTCCGAAGTTGCATGACTAGAAAATTGTTACAGCCAAGGTTTGATGCACAGCTCTTAATACTGTTCAGTGCTTTTCTTTCCCAATACTCGTCCCTCTTGTTTGTTTAAAAAAAAAAATATATATATATATATATATACACACACATATATATATTTAAGTAAGTTGATATAAAATCCATTAATTTCATGTGTACAACACAGTGATTTGACAACTTTGAATATATTTTATGTTCACCACAGTGTAGCTACATTATTAAATACAATTGACTGTATTCCCTATGCTGTACCTTTCATCCCTGTATCACTGTCTCAAAGTCTCAGAAGACCAATGTGATCATTTGTATGGTGCCTCTCTAGACCCTTGACAATACAGAACCTATACACTGAGCCTTTTTGGAGAATTTCTATGCCTAGTTCAGTGATTTTTCTTTTTCTTTAAAATCTGAAATTAGATTAATGTAGGTGAAACCATGAGAAGGTCCCAAGTGTAGAAACCAATACTTAAACTATGATAGGAAGTATAATTTGATGAAGATTATAGGGTGTTTACATGCTCTGGTCAGGGAAGACTGCAGGGGCCATTGAGTGTTTTTTGAGTTTAACCCTGAACCATCAACAGTATCAGTATTCTTGAGTTGCTCAGACTTAAGGAGACAAACTGATCATGCTGTTAAACTTACAAGAGGTTGACTTGTATAAAGCAGTTTGCCAATTTATTGAATGAGGGAGCGATATTCCTTCCCGGTGATTGGATTGTTTATGTTACCCATCTGTGGACCCTTCTTCCACAGGATATATTGGAACCTGTGTGTGTATGTGTGCGTGCGCGTGTGTGCTTGATCTTATGGTAAAGAGTTAGGCTATAATGAAGTCTAGTGATAAATTTTCATGCTGTACCTTAACATTTATCTTTCCATTGGTATTTCCCTCCCTTCAAATGCTGAAGAAAAAAAATATGTACTCTAGAATATCCTTAATTATATAGCTTTTTATTGCCTTTCCTTGTTCCCATACTACTAAGTGATTGTCGGGTTTGAGAAACATAGTTTTAAGCAGACTCCTTACTTGGAGACTTTTTGACTTCCTATTGAAATATGCTTCTATTTATATTCAGGTGGCCTTAAGTGGAGTTTTTAGGTAGCCCCAACCTTCTCAGTATCACACTTAATGATCTCTTGGTTTTCTTCTATAGATGACAGATCTTTTCCATTGTATGTAAATTATATTTGGCAATTTGAAAACATGAGCTCACGTTTTTAAATTGTTATTTCAAAGTTGAGGGCAGTTAGGTTATATCCTCTATAGATAACCACCAGAAAATAAAGTAGAAATTGTTATTGACAACTTTTCTTTGTTCTTTTATTCACAAAAGGAGGTAAAATGTTTACCCAGCCTTTTAGAATGAAACCACACGGATCATACTCCGCAGGCTTCCCAGTTGTAAAGTCTCACTTTTCACAACCTGCTTCAAACATGGATCCACCGAAACAAATATTGAACGTGGAAAAGACTTTTAAGTCAAATGTAGTAGAGACTTCAAAGCTGAATCACACTGAAAAATTAAATCAGGTAAGAGATGTAAGATATCTGATTTTACAGATATAAATAACCAAAAATGCATTTAAATTGACTGGGTTTTTTTATTGCTTAGATCTGATGGAAGAGCTTACTTTTTAAAATTCAAGTCATTTCAGATTTAACTTGAGCGTTTTCTATGGTTGTGTGGATTATTAGCTAGTAAGAGGTGGCAGTGGGAAACCAGTACAATTTTATCAGTTCCTCTGGTTTCTCCAACAGGTTTCCCCTGCTGTTTGTAAGTAGAGTGTTCCTAGGAAACCTTTCTTGGCTTGAACTGGTATAAAGCAAGGAGGCAATTACCATTAATTTATATGGAAAATATTTTGAACATTCCCAGACCCTCAAACTAATCTCTAGTGGGCATTTCTGATATTTTACAATATATCTTGCTAATGGTTTTTCTGATACCTTAGGACATATCTTGGTAATTGATACACAAAATAAATAAACGGAGATAAAGTACAGCTTCAAGCCACCATAGCTTGATGCTGAATGAAGTTCTTGGGGAAGGAGGCGGGCAGTGCCCCTCGGGCTGTTCAGAGCAGCCCCTGGGACCACTCACTGCAGAACGAATGCTGGATGCTGTTTTCACTTCTGGCCTTTTTTGGTAAAAGTGAAAATCCTCTTTCAATTTCTTTGAGTTAGCCCAGTTTTTTTTTTTTTTTTTAGACTTTATTTATTTATTTGACAGATCACAAGTAGGCAGAGAGGGGGGTGGGGGAAGCAGGCTCCCTGCTGAGCAGAGAGCCCGATGCGGGGCTCGATCCCAGGACCCTGAGATCATGACCTGAGCTGAAGGCAGAGGCTTAACCCACTGAGTCACCCAGGTACCCTGCTTTAAGTTAGCCAAAGCAAGAACTAACCCTTCCCAGATCCTTCATAAAAGCAAAGTGGCATAATGTGAACTTTTGAAAAGTGAGGCATCCATGTACTTTCTGCAGATGACTCTCAGATCTCTCTCTAGTTTCAGCTTCTCACCAAAGTCGAAATACATTTGCAACTTACCTTATGGATATCTTCACTCGAATGACTGGCCTGAACACTGTGGTGCTGGTAGTTTTTTGGCTATATATACACTGAAGGATTATTTTTTTAAGATTTTATTTATTCATTTGACAGAGATCACAAGCAGGCAGAGAGAGAGAAAGGGAAGCTTTCTCTGCTGAGCAGAGAGCCCGACACGGGGCTCGATTCCAGGACCCTGAGATCATGACTTGAGCCAAAGGCAGAGGCTTTAACCCACTGAGCCACCCATGCACCCCTACACTGAAGGTTTTTTGAACAAAGTCATGACAACCAAGAAAAGCCTGCTTAAATTAGCAAGATAACAGCCTTTTTTTTTCTTTTTTTTTTTTTTTTTTTGCATTTTAAAAAATTAAATTTTATTTAAATTCAATTAACTTAGTGTATTATTAGTTTGAGGTAGAGATCAGTGATTCATTAGTTGTGAACAGCCAGTGTTCATTATATTCTGTGCCCTCCTTAATGCCCATCACCCAGTTAACCCATCCCCCCAAACTACTCCCCTCCAGCAACGCTCAGTTTGTTTCCTATGGTTAAGAGTCTCTTATGGTTTGTCTCCCTCTCTGATTTCAATTTGTTTTATTTTTCCTTCCCTTCCCCTATGTTAATCAGTTTTGCTTCTCAGATTCCACATATCAGCGAGATTATATGATAATTATCTTTCTCTGAGTGATTTCGTTTAGCATAATACCCTCCAGTTCCATCCATCTCCTGGCAAATGCAAGATTTCTTTTTTGATGGCTGCATAGTATTCCATTGTTTGTGTGTGTGTGTGTGTGTGTGTGTGTGTGTGTGTGTGTGTGTGTGTGTATACACACACATACACACCACATCTTCTTTATCCATTCATCTGTCGATGGACATCTGGGCTCTTTCCATAGTTTGGCTATTGTAGACATTGCTGCTATAAACATTCGGGTGCATGTGTTCCTTCAGATCATTACATTTGTATCTTTAGGGTAAATACCCAGTAGTGCAATTGTTGGGTCATACAGTAGCTCTATTTTCAACTTTTTGAGGAACCTCCATACTGTTTTCTAGAGTGGCTGCACCAGCTTGCATTCCCACGAGAAGTGTAAGACGGTTCCCCCTTTTCCACATCCTTGCCAACTTCTGTCGTTTCCTGACTTACAAATTTTAGCCATTTTGACTGGTGTGAGGTGGTTATCTCATTGTCGTTTTGATTAGTATTTCCCTGATGCCAAGTGATGTTGAGCAGTTTTTCATGTCTCTGTTGGCCATTTGTGTGTCTTCTTTGGTGAAATGTCCATTTTTTAACTGGATTATTTTTGGGGTGTTGAGTTTTGTTAAGTTCTTTATAGATTTTGGATACTAGTCTTTCATTTGATAAAACATTTGCAAATATCTTCTCCCATTCTGTCAGTTGTCTTTTGTTTTTGTTGACTGTTTCCTTTCCTTTCAGTTGACTGACTGAAAGTTTATCTTGATGAAGTTCCAGTAGTTCATTTTTGTCCTTTTTTCCCTTGCCTTTGGAGACCTGTCTAGCCAGAAGTTGCTGTTGCTGAGGTCACAAAGATTGTTGCCTGTGTTCTTCTCTAGGATTTTGATACATTCCTGTCTCACATCTAGGCCGTTCAGACTATTTTTGTGTTTGGTGTAAGAAGATGATTCAGTTTCATTCTTCTGCATGTGGTTGTCCAGTTTTCCCAACACCATTTGTTGAAGAGACAGTATTTTTTCCATTGGACATTCTTTCCTACTTTGTTGAATATTAGTTGACCATAGAGTTGAGGGTCCATTTCTGGGTTCTCTATTCTGTTGCACTGATCTATGTTTCTGTTGTTGTGCCAGTACCACGCTGTCTTGATGATTCCAGCTTTGTAATAGAGCTTGAAGTCTGGAATTATGATGCTACCAGCTTTGCTTTTCTTTTTCAACATTTCTTTGGCTATCTGGGGTCTTTTCTGGTTTCATACCAATTTGAGGATTATTTGTTCCAGCTCTGTAAAAAAAAAAGTTGATGGTAACTTTGATAGGGATTGTATTGAATGTATAGATTGCTCTAGGTAGCATAGACATTTTCACAATATTTGTTCTTCCATTTCATAAGCATAGAATGCTTTCCCATTTCTTTGTGTCTTCCTCAATTTCTTTCATGAGTGTTCTATAGTTTTCCAAGTACAGATCCTTTGCCTCTTTGATTAGGTTTATTCCTAGGTTATCTTATGGTTTGGGTACAATTGTAAATGGGATTGACTCCTTAATTTCTCTTCTGTTTCATTGTTAGTGCATAGAAATGCAACTGATTTCTGTGCATTGATTTTATATCCTTCCACTTTGCTAAATTCATATATGAGTTCTAGCAGTTTTGGGGTGGAGTTTTTTTGATTTTCCATATAGAGTATCAGGTCATCTGCAAAGAGCAAGAGTTTGACTTCTCTGCCTATTCGCATACCTTTTATTTCTTCTTGTTGTCTTTGTGAGGCTAGGACTTCCGGTACTATGTCGAACAACAGTGGTGATAGTGGACATCCTTACCATGTTCCTGACCTTAGGGGATAAGCTCTCAGTTTTCTCCCATTGAGAATGATATTTGCTGTGGGCTTTTTGTAGATGGCTTTTATGATACTGAGGTATGTTCCCTCTATCCTTATACTGTGGAGAGTTTTAACCAAGAAAGGATGCTGTACTTTGTTAAATGCTTTTTCTGGATCTATTGAGAGGATCATATGGTTCTTGTCCTCTCTTTTATTAAAGTAGTATGTCACATTGATTGATTTGCAAATGTTGAACCACCCTTGCAGCCCAGGAATAAATTTCATTTAGTCCTGGCGAATAATCCTTTTAATATGCTATTGGATCCTATTGGCTAGTATCTTGGTGAGAATTTTTGCATCCATGTTCATCAGGGATATGGGTCCTTAATTCTCCATTTTGGTGGGATCTTTGGCTGGTTTTGGGATCAAGGTCATGCTGACCTCAGAGAAAGAATTTGGAAGTTTTCCTTCCATTTCTAGATTTTGAAACAGCTTCAGAAGACTAGGTATTAATTCTTTAAATGTTTGGTAGAATTGCCTTGGGAAGCTTTCTGGCCCTGGGCTCTTATTTGTTGGTATATTTTTGGTTACTGCTTTAATTTCCTTGCTAGGTAGGGTCTGTTCAGGTTTTCTGTTTCTTCCTGGTTCAGTTTTGGTAGTTTATATGTTTCCAGGAATGCACCCGTTTCTTCCAGATTGTCTGATTTCTTGGCATATAGTTGCTCATAATATGTTCTTATAATTTTTTTGTATTTCTTTGGTGTTGCTTGTGATCTCTCTTCTTTCATTTGTGATTTCATTAATTTGGGTCCTTTCTCTTTTCTTTTTCATAAGTCTGGCCAGGGGTTTATCAATCTTATTAATTCTTTCACAGAACCAGCTCCTAGTTTCCTTGATGGGTTCTACTGTTCTTTTGGTTTCCATTTCATGGGTTTCTGGCCTAATCTTTATTAATTCTCTTTGCCGGGTTTAGGTTTTATTTGGTGTTCTTTTTCCAGCTCCTTTAGGTGTGAGTTTACCTTATGCATTTGAGACCTTTCTTTGTTTCTTTGAGAAACAAAGTGGTCTTAGGACCACTTTGGCTTATCCCAAAGATTTTGAAAAGTTGTATTTTCATTTGTTTCCATGAATTTTTAAAATTCTTAATTTCCTGGTTGACCAGTTCATTCTTTGGTAGGATGTTCTTTAACCTTTATGTGTTTGTTTTCCTTCCAAATTGGCTCTTGTGATTGAGTTCCAGTTTCAAAGCATTGTGGTCTGAAAATATGCAGGGAATGATCCTAATCTTTTGGTACCACTCGAGACCTGATTTGTGACCCAGTATGTGATCTGTTCTGGAGAATGTACCATGTGCACTAGAGAAGAATGTGTATTCTCTTGCTTTAGGATAGAATGCTGTGAATGTATCTGTGAAGTCCATCTGGTCCAGTGTGTCATTCAAAGCCCTTCCTTCCTTGTTGATCTTCTGTT